GGCCACTGCTGCGGCCGAGTCGTGGCCCGCGTGGGCCCCACGGGGACGATGAAGGGTGGGAGGGGCGGGCGCGTGGGGAAGGATGAACTGTTCGGCCTGGAGCGAAGCCACGCGCAGGTGGTGCTGACTGCAGGAAACGAGAGGAACGTCTCCACCAGACAAGGTGAGGACAGTGGGGACACTACAGCTGTCCACGCTGATGACGTCACTGCATAACTGGGCTCCACTGCCAACAGCTGTTACAGCAGTCCAGGACTCACAATAGGACCACAGACCAGAGCAGGGGGGGGGGGGGGGGGGGGGGGGGGGAAACCCCCCCCCGCCGCGATGCCACTGTCTCTTCTTCCTCAGCTCTGTTTCCATCCTTCAGTCGCTACGTCTGACTCCCGTACAGCCATACTCTGCCTTCTCTAATAAGTAATAACAATAAAACAACGGTTATTTCTCTCCCTTACCTTCCGGCTTGTCTTCGGCAGCCATTTCCCCTCCACCGTGCGCCTCATCCCTCCTCCTCCGGGTTGAAAACATGTCTGTCCCCAAGGGGGAAAATAACTGAGAAGCTGGACCAGAGTCTGGGCTGACTGACTGGATCAGACGTTCAATCAAACCATCACCGAGGAGGCGACGTCAGCGGCGTGTGTAGCAGAGAGGCTTCTGGGAAATACACACTGGACTGAAGTTCTAGTGGAGGCCCAGGACTAAATCCTCAGTGTGAGGAGGGCTGCTCCAGTTCCCTCAGACCACGGCCATGAAATACTTCAGACTTACTGCAGAATATAGGGGGGGGCGGGGGGGGGGCACAATAGTACTACCATCAGTCTGTGTGGTCTGTTATACAGTGCAGAGAGGGAAAGAACCTTAATGATTCTGATCAGTTTGGGTCACATGACCAAACCCAGCTTCAGGGTTAAAGGTTAACCTTTAGGTTGACCAACCCAGGACCCTGGGTGGTAGAAGTAGGTTTTGGGGTCAGAGCTGTTGAAGACGATCTTTGAGTTTCTTTCTTCAATTCCTGCCAGTATATCAGCGTTGTCTTCAACCAATCAGGCTGAGACTTTAGTCGATGATGATGTCGTTTAAACTAGAAGATTATTAGATTTCATAACATAGACTTGTTTGAGTTTTTTTGTTTGGCGGTGTCCCTGGGGTTTTTCCCGTGCCGGGGGTTAAAAAAGGTTCCACTTTTCTAGGCATGGACCTGTCAGCCAATCAGGATGAGATCGGAGACCAGGAAGTTTTTCAGTTGGAGATGAACCACGAAGACAGGAAGTGTGCATTCAGAACAGCTGCTGGAAAATACTGGACGCTGACGGCCACCGGGGGTCTGCAGTGCACCGCCCTGACCAAGTAAGTCCACAGCCACAGATACTGTCCTGCACGTTGACAGTACCATCAGGTTCCTTAAACTGACACCGTCTCCTATGTCACAGATCAGCCAACAGTTATTTTGAACTCGAGTGGCGGGACGGTCGTGTGTGTTTGTGCGGAGCTAACGGCAAGTACGTGACCGCCAAGAAGAACGGGCAGTTGGCCGCTGCCGTTGACAACGCAGGTGAGCCGTGATTCTGGAGACGGTAAAGGATCAAAAAGAGCTGGGTCACATCTTGGCTGTATTTCTAATCTGTAGGCGAGGCGGAACTCTTCCTGATGAAGCTGATCAACCGTCCACTCATCGTCCTTCGGGGGGAGCACGGCTTCATCGGAGCTCGTAAGGCTGGAATAGCTACTCTGGATTCTAACCGTGCGTCCTACGATGTGTTCCAGCTCGAGTTCCACAATGGAGCTTACGCTCTCAAAGGTGAGCAACATCCATGCATCCATCCATCCATCCATCCACCCATCCATCCATCCATCCATCCATCCATCCATCCATCCACCCATCCATCCATCCATCCATCCATCCATCCATCCATCCATCCATCCATCCATGCATCCATCCATCCATGCATCCATCCATCCATCCATCCATCCATCATCTACCACATATTACCTCTTGGGTTCGTGGGCGGTGCTGGACCAGTCGCTCCCACCTACAGGCGAGGACGGGGTAGTTGAACTTTAGTGGAATGAAAAAACAAATGATTGACATCCCCGTACAGCCAGTGTCTGTCCCTTTAAATGGTAACGAGCCGCTGCAGGCTCCACCCACCTCATTAGCAGTGAGAGGCCCTGAGGACAGACTTTCCAGGGAAGCAGAGATTTGAACCGACTCCCTGCAGTATTTCTCCTTTGAGTTTGATCTAATGATGATAAATATTAACTTTTTTTAATCGCTCTTGAGTTTTGAAAAGTTTCCAAAAACTTCTTTCCTAACTTTCCTAAAGTTCCTCTCAGCCGGGGGAGTAGTATTATAACATATCTTTTTCCTAACTTCCCGTGTCTTTTTACAATATCCTCAAGTGATAAATGAACCATCTATGACTCATACGTGACGTGGACCAACAGCAGCACCACCTAGAGGGGATAGTCTGTAGTTGACATTAGACAGATGTTCCATGTGAACATAGGAGGCGCTGTAGAGCTGTGACATGAGCCTCATTAAGAGTGTGTTGTCTGCCCAGACTCCCAGGGGAAGTACTGGTGCGTTGGAGACGACACGGCGGTGACGTGCAGCAGCTCCTCACCTGTCCAGTTCCTGTTTGAGTTCTGTGACGTCAACAAGATGGCCGTCCGTGCACCGGGGGGCAAGTACCTCAAAGGAGACCATGCTGGGGGGCTCAAGGCAAGTGCAGACTCCCTGGACAACGCCACCCTGTGGGAGTATTAGACAAAACACAGCCGACAAAAAGCTTCAAAATGTTGTTGTTAGAAACCGTAGGTAGGTGTGTGTACCGGTGTATTTGTATGGATGAAGTAAAAAAGTGAAGCTGACAAACCGAGGTCCTAGGACAGAGGCACCTTTACTGTTTTTATTTTACTGGAGAACGGCATCAAATGTTTCTCACTGTTCTGAGGTATTTCATAAAGAGAACGTTGTAACGGAATTCTACGTTAATTGTCGCCTAAGCTTTGCCTGATCAGGCCACGACACTGATGTACGTCACGCCTGCGATTCACCATATGTAACTTTGAATTGTGCTGCTAGCTGTGTTTGTTTCCTTCATTCTCTCGCCTAAAAAGCACAACGTCGTCGTCGTATTGGGATCAATTGGTTCAAATGCTTCTGCTGTAAACTGAATCAAAATGTAAAAACAAAATGGTTGACGTGTCAGGTGGAGGCGGACGACAGACCATGGTTGGGTCAGTCCAATTACCTAATGAATTGACCCCTGTTTTATACCCACTACTCGTACATGATCACGCTTGTAAAAAGTACTGCAGTACTGGACACAATGTTTGCACATGATTTGATCAGAAATCTGCACAAAATGTCAAAAACAAAAACTCAATGTTTGCACATGATTTGATCAGAAACCTGCACAAAATGTCAAAAACTCAGAAGAAAAAGCACATTGGTTTCTATGACGACGACAACACGTCTGCCTTCTCTGGATTGAACTGGATTCTGTCACTGCTGCTGTTCCGTCTCTGTCTCCGGCTCTTGTTGTGACTGTGTGCCTTCCATGTTTTTACTTTTCAAGTAAATAAATAAAGGTTTCTGTCTGTACTGTGGCTGTGACTGACTGTGGATATTCAGGTGAAAGGTTTGTAATATCTGAGGATACCTGAGGTCAGAGGTCGCAGTGATTAGAGTGGTCTTAAACACCTTACACACTGCTCAGCTACGACTTGTAAATGAGCAAACTGAAGACAGAACAGATTTATTGGAGCAGCGTGATGAGGGAAAGAAAGAAGAAGAAGAGCAGCGGCAGCAGAACTGGGTTCTCTAGAGATGATCTGTTCCTGAGCTAAAACTGAAACAAAGGCTGAGGAACGGGAGGCGACCTGCTCTACTTCCTCTTTCCTTCCACCGCAGGAATGTGACCGAGGAGACCACCGTGCTGCATCGAGGTCTGCTGAATCATGTGCTGATAAAAACAGGCAGCAGCAGACAGCAGCGGCTGTGCATGTGTTGCCATGGCAACCAGAGACAGCAGAGATCTGAGGTGAGGGGGATGAATGTTCACACAATGAATCTCACAAATACAGATGGGTTTTTGACATCACACATTTAGGACATCGATGATGTAGATAAGAACCCAGTCATGTGGAAGCATCCATCCATCCATCCATCCATACATCCATCCATGTGTCACGTTCACACAACAAAAGTATAAATATGTGCAGAAAAACAAGGAATATAGAAAATGTTGGATAATGAGGTAAAACTATTGAAGACGACAGCTGTCATTTCTCACACATACCAAGTGCTAAATAAATATTATCAAAATAATCATCGTTGCTTCATCAGAATTTTTTCACAATGACAATGTTTCTACAGCAGAGCGCCACCTGGGTCTTACTACGGAAGAGTATTTAAATAAGTCCCATAACCGAAGTGTTAGAACCGTTGACTGGTGCATTCATAGGAAGCGAGGGTTGAGCGTGCCTATACCACCCTCTGCTGGTGTAACTATTTAGCCCTATAGACTTTAAACCATTTGTATTTGACAGAGCAGCCTCTTCCTCCTCCTGTGGACCAAGCTGTGTCAAAGACAGGCATGGACACATAGTGTGTGTGTGTGTGTGTGTGTTTTCACGCCTGAATGATTTAAAACATGACAAACCCACTGAAGCCATTTCCAACCAACGAGGCGGTAGAGAAAACTACGGAGCCCGTATTATACTGAATAATGGAGAACAACAATTAAAACACTCGACATGGTAAAATAACCAACATTCACCCTCATGTTGTCTGGCAGTAACTCCTTCTTGACAGAAATGCTCTGGTTGTTTGGTTAAACTCGTCAACAAAGTCAACATTTGATCATTTATAGCCCACGACGTCAAACGTCAGGTTAAAATCCCTTTAGGACTAGATTTCCCGACAGGCCTCTGTTCCGAAACCGGAAAAATAATCAGCGATGACGTTCAACCAATCAGAGTATGCCTCAGACTTTCTCGGCTTGTGATTGGCCATTTTTGCACTGGTTTCCCAAGATGCTTTGCTGCACCGCTTCAGAATTCAAATACAGCAGACCAATCAGAGAGCCGTATAACGAACGAGGCAGCATTTTAAACTTGTACCAGACACTGTTGTCAAAAGACTGGACGCCGCAGCAGCACAGTCAGGTTTGGCGTCTGAATCTAGTCCTCATCGGATCTTTTAAAATATTTAAATTCGTTCTTTACATGATATATGTGTTGTTAAAGTAAATGTTCGAGTGTTTTTTTTTGTATTTCCATCTGAGTGTCGGTTTCAGGCGCATACGGGAGTAGCCTCGTTTCCATTACCATACATTAGCGTCGTTTAAAATATAATTCGTAACTGAAGAGCTTTTTTCGAAGTTTTAAAGTTTTTATTAACTCGCCGAAGAATACTCGACACCAAAAATGAGTGCTGCGATCCCGAAGCCGGCGAATCCGTCGGCCCACGTCGACCCAAAGTCGGCTCCTCTCAAAGAAATCCCAGATATTCTGGTGGACTCGCGCACCATGAGGAGATACACGAGGGGACGATTCCTGGGAAAGGGTGGTTTCGCCAAGTGCTATGAAATCACAGACATGGAATCGAAACGGGTTTTCGCCGGAAAAATCGTGCCTAAGTCCCTCATCATGAAGCAGCACCAGAGGGAGAAGATGACCTCGGAAATCGCCATTCACAAAAGCCTGAACCACCCGAACGTCGTGGGTTTCCATGGCTTTTTCGAAGACGATGACTTCGTTTTCGTCGTCCTCGAAATATGCAGGAGAAGGGTGAGTGTTTGTCCAGTCAACACCCTGCCCAGGGCCAACGGTTACCACAGCATTGTCCTCATACAATCGAAGGGACGTTACTGAGATGATTTCCTGTTTGAACTCAGTTCATGTATTTGAGTCAATCACAAATAAAATCCACTGATTTCGACTTATTTCACACTGATTCGGTCACTAACATGGAGGCAGACCTTCATAAACTTTTAACTGTTTTAATATTTACATGTCAGAAATTCTAATTAACTTTATGACTCGATAAACTTTTTTTTTTCTCCCCCCTGTAGTCTTTGTTGGAGCTGCACAAACGTCGTAAGGCTGTGACTGAACCGGAGGCTCGGTACTACATGATGCAGATGCTCAGAGGAGTCCAGTACCTGCACAACAACAAGGTCATCCACCGAGACCTGAAACTGGGCAACATCTTCCTCAACGAAGACATGGATGCCAAGATCGGTAACGACCCCGCTGCTCCACTGCATCACATTTAACAAGGACTAAAACACAGTCATCCAGTGTGAAAACAAAGGTGGTTTTCTAGACCTCAGCTGTTCCTCAGCTGTTCCTCAGCTGCAGTCCTGTCAAAGTGGACCAAATCAATATGTTTTGTTATTAAGTTATTTATATAAACTTTATCTGCACTAATAAAACCCCGTGTTGGATGAACTTGGTTCAACAGTGGACATTAGTCTCACACACACACACACACACACACAGTTGATTGATATTAAACCTTTTTTTTTTTCAGGTTGACTCATGTTTTGATCAGTAAACTGAGCTCCTGGAACATTCTATCACTTTATTCCTGTTTGCTCACTCAAATAAAGACGTGAACAGCTAAGTTTGGCCTTGTTTTGAACTGCGTGACGACAGTTTCAACAGAGGCGGTCTACAGGGTCTGAATCTCTGCACAGGAACCAGTACGTCACAGTAACTAGTTAATGGACCAAATGGGATCACCAAGTTGAAGCTACTACAACCAACTTAACCAGATGTGAAGTCTCGTTTCCGTCTGATTTGATGAAGAACATAAATGCGACCCAGTGCCTCCTCAACCTCCAGACTATCTTTAGTTTTCTGCTGTAGGTCAAACAGAGGCCGCAGCAGAATCGACCTCCACCTTTTCATATCCACAGAACAAACCACCACCCACTCCCACAGGGTTGGCTTTCTGTCTTATTATAGTTAACGTAACGTAAAGACCCGTTGATGTTCTTCTCAGAGCTCACTCTTCTTCTCTGCCCTTCTGGACCAGGTGACTTTGGCCTGGCCACCAAGATCGAGTTTGACGGCGAGAGGAAGAAGACTCTGTGTGGAACTCCGAACTACATCGCTCCAGAAGTGCTGTGTAAGAAAGGCCACAGCTACGAAGTGGACGTGTGGTCGCTGGGATGTATACTGTAAGTTAGGACACTGGGGGGGGGGGCGGCAGTGGCACCAGTCTTCAACAGTGCGTCTCTTCTCACAGATACACCTTGTTGGTGGGCAAGCCTCCATTTGAGACTTCCTGTCTGAAGGAGACCTACACCCGCATCAAGAAGAACAACTACACCATCCCATGGGTAAGACACAGTTCACTGGAACATCACTCATCACTGTTTGGTTTCTGTTTGTTAACACACCCGACCCCCCCTCCCTCCCTGCAGCACATCAACCCACTTGCCTCCACTCTAATCAAACGGATGCTGCACGCCGACCCGGGCCAGCGGCCTACGATCGCTGAGGTGATAGCCGACGAGTTCTTCACCTCAGGCTACATCCCTCTGCGTCTGCCCACCACCTGCCTCACTGTTCCACCCAGGTTTTCCATCGCTCCGTCTACAGCTGGCGATCTGAGCCAGAGGCGTCCACTGACAGCCATTAACAACAAAGGTAAGGTTCTGTCCCCGATCCGCGGCCTCACGGTCTGGACCCAGCTGGTGGCGTGTCCGTCCTCTGTAGTACCAGGTATTGATGTGGAATAAACCACTGAAGGACGTCTGTTTCTGTTTCTCCTTCTGTCAGCAGGTGTGGACAAAGTAGAATCTAAGGACGAGCTTCAGCAAAGGTGAGAGACGTGGCAGGTCTGCAGACCGCCACAGGTTCCTTCGTTCATTACTGAGACAGAATATTTGACGTCTCTCTGATGTGTCCGTCATGTTCCCTCTGTTGTGCAGAGACGCAGAGCCTTCAGAATGCCACCTGAAAGACATGCTGCAGCAGCTCAACGGTATCCTGGCGGCCAAACCCTCAGAGAAGGCTGTGAACTGACAGGGTGAGAGCTGAGGCCACGCCACTCCTCTCCACTCCTCTCCACACTGCAGCTGCTCTGTTCTTTCCACTCCAACACTTGTTGTTTATTGATGTGTTCACAGAAGAGGCAGAAGATCCCGCCTGTATCCCCATCTTCTGGATCAGTAAATGGGTGGACTACTCTGACAAGTACGGACTGGGTAAGAACCAAGAACTGTTTCCAGTTGAACTCACAGTCTGAAGAATCCACCCTAAAAAACCAGATTTGTCTGTGGTGTTTCAGGCTACCAGCTGTGTGACAACAGTGTGGGTGTGCTGTTCAATGACTACACCCGTCTGATCATGTACACTGACGGAGACAGTCTGCAGTACATTGACAAAACTGCGGCGGAGTCCTACCTCAGCGTGCGCAACTACCCTGCGACCCTGAACAAAAAGGTCTGAAGGTCGTTCGACGTCTTCGTCTTCATCTTCTGTTCAGCAGAACTTACAGCTGTTTTTCTCTGCAGATAACTTTGCTGAAGTATTTCCGTAACTACATGAGCGAGCACTTGCTGAAGGCCGGAGCGAACGTGGCACGGCGGGAAGGAGACGAGTTGGCCAGACTGCCTTATCTGCACCTGTGGTTCAGGACCAAGAGCGCCATCGTGCTGCACCTCACCAACGGCACCGTTCAGATTAACTTTTTCCAGGTGAGACCAGAAGCTGCGCCGGGACACCGACTGTTCATGCAGTCAGAGCCGCGGTGACACAGACGACTGAAACCTCACTTTGACGACACGCCTCCAAGGGGACAAAATATTAGACAATATCTAAAAAATGTGCCGTCTTTGCTGCGTTTCTCTCTGTGATCATCGTCAGTGTCGTTCCTTCCATGGCAGCTCAGAACATTTACATTTCCTCTGACTCTTCCTCAGGACCACACCAAGCTGATCCTGTGTCCCCTGATGGGGGCCGTGACCTACATCGACGAGAAGAAGGTCTTCCGCACCTACAAGCTGTCTCTGCTGGAGGAGTTTGGCTGCAGTAAGGAGTTGGCTAGCCGCATGCGCTACGCCAAACTGATGGTGGAGAAACTGTTGGACAGCAAATCCTCGGCCACCGTGCAGTAGTCAAACCCCCCACCTCCATCTCCACCTTCACCTCTTGTATCATTTCTGTCTTTAATCACTGGCTCCTGCTCTGTCTCCTGGTGAAAAGATCATCTCGACTCGTCTTTTATTACTGTGGCAGTGGGAGGCTGTGACTTGACTCTTGGTCGTCTGTTGTATTTTAGTCCGGTGATCGTCATCCTCTTCTTAACTCCTCAGCTGCAGCGCCTCCTTCTGGGTCACTGCTGCAGGTGCTGCAGACGTTGACTCTTTCTGGACATCCGGTGTTGTGTTCAGGTGTCGTGGGTGAAATGAGCACAGAAGACTGTTGTTTTATCTGGGCTGTACATAGAGAAACGGACCACGTCACGTCTTCATCATGTACACGTCTCCTTTTAAGATGTCCTCTTTTAAATGTTTCTGTCAGATCCCTGTCCCAAACTTGTACATACTCCATAATACGTGTACCTGTTGTAAAGATGATAACTTTCTACCAAATTTAAATAAAGACTTTGGAAGATGACAATATTTCTCCGTCTTCGTCCATTGGTTGACGGCCTTTCTTCAGATGACCAGTGGTGCTGCAGTTTGTTTTAAAACCAGCTGATGTTCCGCAGGTGGTCGTCTGTTTGTTCCGCAGGTGGTCGTCTGTTGATGTTCTGCAGGTGGTCGTCTGTTGTTCCGCAGGTGGTCGTCTGTTGTTCCGCAGGTGGTCGTCTGTTGTTCTGCAGGTGGTCATTAAATGTGTTGGTTAATTTGACAGTTTTACATTTTAGATGTTTAAAAGAACAAAGACATTATCATAGAAATGTTTGTTATATGTAAATTATTTTCCAGTTTGATCAAAACAGCAGTGTTGATGACATCACTGCTCTCTCTCCAACAGTTTGAAGATCCATTTCCTGAAAATTGAAAACTCCTCAGTATTAGCAGTAGGAAATGCCACAGTCAGTCAGTTTTCATCAGCAGGACTGGTGTACGACGTGTCGTTGATACTTAGCTTAGCATTATATTTGGTGCTTTAAAATAGCCTGTACATTTTTCAGTGTAATTTAGTTCACTTTCTGATTAAAATAGAAGAATGTTTGGTTTTAAATTCACAGATTGAACACAATATTGACGTTTGAAGTTTAATGGGAATGAGATAAAAACAATGGAAACAGGATATTTCTCTTCTTTAAATATAACGACATGTGAACAATAAAATCGTTGTTTTTTTTAATGACGCTCCAGTGGTTTTAAAACACGTCCAGTGTTGGTAACAGCAGGCTGTAGCTGGACTCATCTTTCAGGAATATTCTAATATAATCTACAGGAGTTCACGGTGGATAAAAATGAAACTACCACTAAATGTGTAAAGGTTTCCTCAGGACTGAAGTCTATATTTGACTGAAGTAGTGTAACGTCACATCTCCGCTGTGATGAGCGGTCAGCAGGGTGTCTCCTCCTCCTCCCCCCCAGCGAGCCAGCTGCCAGCCCTCCTTCTCTGGAGCCCACACCATTCTGGAGGCACGGTGACGTTGGAGTTCCCACACACACACGCAGCCATTCTGACTCAGGCCGACCACGCTGGAGCTGTTGACGTCGGCCTCGCACAGTCTGCAGCAAAGACACACACCAGGGGAGCGTCAGGTACCGGAGGGAACAGTGGGACACACACACACACACACACACACACACACCTGTCCTCAGCTCACCTGCCTGACCAGACCGTGGGTGGATACAGCTGAGTCAGCACCATAGATGTTCTGTTCAGAGGATTGACGGCGACCACGGAGAAGAAGGCTCTTTTCTCTCTCTCCTCTTCCACGGTGACCAGTTGTTGATGCTGCAGCAGGACAAACAACACTCCCTGTGCAGGGAACACACAGGGGTGAGACGTTCTGAGGAGGGAGACAGCTTCACCCTGATGAGACGAAACAGACTTACTCTGTAGGAGAATCCTCTCAGACAGACTGAAGGCATCAAAGCATCAGGGAGGACGAGCGTCCGCAGCAGCTGACCGGTCTCCAGGTGCCTTCAACAAACACACACCAGTAACAGAACACTCCAGAGTCAAAGCCAGTGACATCTGGGGCAGTGGTATCAAACACCGTGGCACCGATCCTGCCTTACCAAATGAAGACACGTGCCGTCTCATCTGAGCCAATCAGAGCGTCAGAAAGCCCCTCCACCGGGGCCAGGGCCCCGACACGCACCCCAGGAGACACAAGACTGTGAGCATTTGGTTTTCTGAGGAAGAAAGAAGATCAGCACTGAAGCAGTGGAGGGCAGCAGTGATGAGGGTAACAACAGGGGTGTCAGGTACCTGCTGTGGTCTGATTGGTCAAACACCTGCAGGGTGGAGCCGGCCGAGGAGTGGGAGGATGTTACCACTCTGGATTTATAGACCCCCACAGCAGCCTGAACTACACCTTCACATAACAGCATCTGCATGAAGCTGGTGCACGACAGCGTCCTGTGGACGTGGACGTGGACGACACACACATGTTTCACATGGACGTTTCTCTGATCGTTTTAGTTCAAACTTTTGTTTGATTCGTGGCTTCAATTTCTGTGCAGGAAAGAAGTCTGAAAGTTATATTCACCGGACTTCTCTGATTTCCAGCTGACCCAAAGTGACGAACATCAGGCCCGCAGCATCAGGGACAGGAAACACGTTGATCACAGGCTGTAAAGGAAAAGAAGGAAAAATGAACTCGACCTCAGGTTTCTTCTTCTCAGGTTTGGGAAATTCCAGACAACACTCACGTGTCTGAAGGTCCAGGTGTGAATTAGGGTCCAGTCGGATGTTTCCGTCCGACTCCACAAGCACGCGGCCCACTTCCCTGCTGCTGCTACATACAAGCGCCCTGAGGGTCCAGACAGGCAGCAGGCGTCGACCAGACGGCCTCCTGCTGGGGTCTGAACAGAAATGACACAGTTCTAACAACGGAGGTGGCGACGACAAGTCGTTCCTGAGGAAACAGGAAAAGTCCCACCTTTAGTGTTTCTGTGCTGCTCTTCTCCTGTGGCTCTGCACTCAGACACTGAGTATCTGAAGGCTTTGGTTCTAGGGGGGCCTCGATCGGAACGACGGGAGAATCCCTGGAGGGGAAGCACGTAAAGGACGGACAGGGAGAGAGAGATGGGGGAGAAGGGGTGAAGGCGGTTGGAGAGGGGGGAGACGGAGCCAAATTGAGAACTGGAGCAGAGGGAGAAGGAGTCGGTGGGAGTCCTGGAGACACAGGGTGAGGTGTGAGTCCAACAGAAGGTGGTGCTGGGGAGGTCAGGTGTGGGGTTGTGAAGGGGGAGGGGGCGGTGAGGGCTGAGGGCTGAGAGGTGACATCATGGCGTGGTAAACACTTCTCATCTGTCTTTAAGTCTTGGACCAGTGACATCACTCCTGCAGCTTCACTGACGTCACATGACCTCGCAGCAGAGCAGCCAATAACAGGTGTCTCCTGCAGTGGCCAATCAAAAGAAAGATGTTTGATGACAGCGCCACTCTCTCTTTCCTCATTTGAAGGTCTGTGATCTCTCTCTAATGCTGACTGTTCTACTCCATAGTCTGTAGACTGACCAGTCACCTGGTCATTCACTTCACCTCTAGGGCTCTCTGCTGAACGCTCCGAGGGTTGAGTCTCAGGGTTGGTGTCAGTGGTTTGCTCTGTTGCAGCAGATGGCTGAATCACTGACACAGCCACTGACCCAGGCTGTGATTTGACATTTTCACACTGATCTCGGCTGCTGAGTGGCTCTTCGCTCAAAGACCGCTTTGACTGTTTATTCAAGCTTTTTCCGTTCATCGGAGCTCGGTTTTGTGATTTTGCAACTGTGGGTGTGAGGCTGAGTGTGAGAGGGAGCGACAGGTCAGTGTCATTGCTGCTGCAGGGGGGGAGACCACGGCTGACGCTACTGCGTGTTTTACAGAAAGGTGATGAGAAATGTTCCACTCCTGCTTCTGTGACCACTTGTTGTAGCTTCTGCAGCTTCAGAGATGCAAACTGGTCATCTGGGAGATGAAAGTCCTGGTGGGTCTCCAGAGACACCAGGGTTTTCAGCACTGAGATGGAGGTCAGCGAGGGGAGTGGGAGAACTGGAGTTTGAGCAGGAGGAGAAGAAGGCAGGAGGAGAGACTGGCAGCTGGATGGACCTGGGCACAAAGATTTTAGAATGAATGAAATTAAAAAAAAACTTCCTTAAAATGTTTTTAAAAACAGCTAGAAATCACAAAGTCGGCTTCTCAAACTTACTTTGACTCATCTGTGACTTTTCCCTGTTACTCCTCCTCACAAACATGGGATACACATTCTGTTGTTGTCCAGATGCTGGGCCGCTCTGGTCTCCAGTGACTGCAGGTGCATGCTGGGTAGGTGTGCTGAGGTGGAGCACAGTCTGACCAGCATCTGTCACAGGATCAGGAGGACACGGTGAAGAGGAGAGCGGGGGGGTGGGCTGTTCGTCTCGACCGGACACTGGAGTCTGACGTCTTCTTCTAGCCCTGGTCCCTTTTCTCCTCCCGCCTCTTCTCGCAGCAGGAGTGCAGGTCCCAGGGGACGACTGGTTCCGCTCAGTGATGTGACTGGAGCTCTGATGGTCAACAGTGACTTCTGCTGCTCCATCAACCAGACTGTTATTTGATGGTTCGTGACCAGATGAAGTGGTCAGCGGGGAGGATGCGGTCTGACCTGAACACACATCACTCTGCCACCGTCTGGTGTTTGCTCCTCTGCCACGACCACGGCTCCTGCGATGCCTTCCCATGTTGAGCTGTGACAGTATGACAGCCTGCATGTCAGGCTGACTCTGTGACATGGTCATACGTCTTGTAGTTCGAACATAGTACTCTGCAGGAAAAATTAACCCCTCCACTAGTGTACACGAGTCTAACAAACCAACACTCTGTCTTTTCTTCACTACCACATTGTTCTCATTATAGCTTTTATTTTCCTTTTTAACTGTGGCATTCTGTTCAGCATTATTGTTACGATTCTCTGCAGAAGACACTGGCGGCCCATGACATTTATTCATTTCAACATCGTTTCTTTCCTCTTCCTGCTTTCTTTTTCTTTTTAAAGTGCAAACCCGACTCGTTTGCTCTGTGTCTTCAGTAAGATTCCCAAATTTGACCGGCAAAGCTGAGGATTCTAAAGGCGTCTTCTCCTCCTCTTCCTTGTCTCCAATATTTGCAGTGTATGGATGGGTTTCCCAGTGTGAATGTGTCAGAGAGGTGGAGCCAGAGAACAGGTCTTCAGTTTCATTCACAGTCCCTTCTTCTTCTTCATACTTGACTTCCACCGTGGCTCTTTGGATTTCTTCCACTTCTTTCTCTATTTTAAAACTCTCCATCTCTTTCCCCTTCTCCTCTGCTTCCTCGTGGTTGTCTGGATTCACGGACGCCTCAGTACTTCTCCTTTCCAAGCGTAGACGACTGCGCCGGGACCTGAGGCGCAGAGCAGGACTAAATCTCTGGCCTCCTTCACCATCATGACAAGGATCTGGAGACTGTTGGCAAGAAGAATCAGAGGGGAGCAGAATCCTGATAACATGGCGCCCCCTGGTGTTATCATTGTCCCAGGAACCTAGAAAAAGAAAAGTCTCAGATAAATATTAAATGCAAACTACATCCAACATATTAGAAACTGTAGAGAGATAAAAGCATTAAATGATACCATTGTCTGCTGCTGCACTTCCAGGGTTCAGCTTCAGTGGTGACTGACTGATTTGCAGCTTGGACGTCACGTCCTTGTCACTCTGCCCCTGATGGTTCTGCTGAATGATCCTGTTCTTCACATGGTGACGCACTGCTTCCAAACGCTCAGCACGCTGCAAACACGTACATTCTTTTTTTTTCTTTTTTCCTTTTACAAATGACTAACAAAAATAAATAAATGATCACATTATCACTTTTCTTACCTTGAGTTTTTCAGCTGTCCTGACATATTCTCTTTGTAAGATTTCCAACTTCCTACGGAGCTGTGAAATGTAATATTAATAGAGGAGATATTCTAAAATGTTCCAATTAGGTCATTAAATCACTTCATGTAACAACAATAGGCAGAAAAATGTGCACTTAAACAAGATAACATAATAACATAACATAATTACACTTTCGAATATTTGTCTACAAGAAATCATAAGAACATACGGTTCTGAAAATAATACTAATATATTGCTGAACTACCTGGTTGTTTAACTATATAATAAAGCCTATTTAAATGACCCAGCAGGATATGTTGTTATTTAAATTAGTCCTTAACCAGCTACAAACTTCTACAGTCAGCATCCGCATTTATTTATTTCGAAATCAATATAATATATACGATGTGAAAACCTCTTAAATAATACGACTAAAACAGTACAACACAGCGGCAGTAACTGTTTTACTTCAATACCTTTTCCTTATCGTCGTACATCAGTGTGGTCTTCAGCTGCTCCTCCACGTCTCTCTCCATCGTTCCCACGGACTCACTCAGCCCTAAACACATGGAATAGTTTTACATGACACTGACACAACAGAAACATACCTATATACCCAAAAACTGGGTTGTTCTTCTTGTTGTTGTTGTTGCTTTTTAACAAGAAGCTGGTTTTACCTACATCGCTGGACTCGACTTAGAAAAACGTAGGTAAGATTCGCTGAAATAACCGAGTAAAACATTAACGTTCACCAACGTCGGCTTCACATTAACTTCTTCTTTCTGTCGTAGTTTTAATCAGAATGCTGCTGTTTCAGAGCCACTTACATTCGTTCACGTCATGATGTTACTGCTTCAACATGGAGAGTTTATTTTGCTGATCGATTGCGCCGGCATCGACTTAGTTCCAATTTCCCGCTACTCCCATAGCAGACCTGAGCAACTGCGCTCCGAGTATTCGATCTGCCTGGCTATAGAATACATTAAGTGTAATATTTATTAATTTAAAGAAGTTTTAAATTATTTTAAAAGAATTTTAGCATTTGCAGTATTTTATGAGCAACGTGTGCTGTAGTTCAGAACCACCCAATCTACTATTAACTAATAACTGAATAGGGATCCCAGCATTAATAATGAGAGGAAGATGGTCAACTGAGTACCTCAGGAAGCAGCAGTCTATGTGTAAAGTCCTTTAACTGAGGGATTAGCAGCTCAGCTGATTAACCTTTAAGTAAGACTGATTTTGTGTCACCTCGAACCTGGTGTTGCCTTGAGCTTTTTCCTGCATAACAGTAAGTGTTTCAACGCTCTAGTATAGCGTAACAAATTCCACGTTTTGCCAATAATACAAGTACAACTGTTACTTTTACCGTCTCTTCCAGGAGCAAGTGAGATCAGCGTTCATCCTCTGCTTCAAAATGTACAAGGGCTGGTGAAAAAAATACACAACCTAGCTACCAAGCTATATATATATACCTTAGCTATATATTTATATACATATATACATACACATATATACATATATACTGTATATACATATATATATATAAACTGATTCCATTGAAACAATATTTGACACAGCTTTTATTTGTGTTATCAAACGCAAAGGAACAACAATTTATCAACTAATATCTGTTAATTATCTTCACACAGTACAAAGTATGAAGTAATAGTAACAGAATATATGAATAAAATAGATTTATCCTTGTAGTTTAAGTAATAATTTGCACATTTGGCACTCTGGAAAAGGTTACCTAAACATTACCATTACACACACACACAGAGTACGGTCATGTTATGACGTGAATGTAACTTTAAGTGTTAGTTCACATATTACTAAAAGTGTGAATTAGGCAGATCATGAATTTAAATGAAGAATGCATGTAAGCAGTTTCTTTCTTAACAACTAATGAAACATATGAAGAAATTATTAAATGACCTACTTTATAAGTCAAAATCCTATGTCAAATGTTTGTTTTATTCAAAATGCTTATGTAAGACATGAGGTTTCAGTTTGGTGAAATGGTCCTGCTCCTCAGACATCCACATGTCAGGTACTTCATCACAGACATGCTGATGTGCATTAGGGTTCCCATGTTGAAGAGCATGTGGTAGAAGGCATGGACAGACAGACCTCCAGTCTCATCAGCGTATTTCAGTGCCACAATAGGTGTGTACATGGGGTTGGTCAGATTGCGGAAACGTGGATTTGCTGCTTCGATCACTTTCTTTGTGCACTGCAGAAGATTTGAACATTGACAGAAACAGTTGACAGTCAGACGAACAGGAAGGATCATCAGCAGGGGAAACTCTTTGTCAGAGAACTTACTCTGGCGATGTCATCAGGCGTCTGCCCCATAACCTCAAAGATGTCCATAGAAGAAGGAAGGTAGACATTTTTGAAATAGTGAACCGTGTCGGGGTCAGCGCCGGGGCAGTCTCTCTGCCTCACCTCCTGAATCATCTTTGCTTCGAATTCTGTGTGAACTGGTCCAGGCTCAATCAAGGACAGTCTGAGGGACAGGATTAACAAGTAATTAACAAACAAATTAACATACGAGAAACTATAAGAAAGTCCTTTGTACAGATTGTTAGAAACTAATTTTGTCTGCCTACAGTTTTAGTATTTTAATAGTAGCAAGATTTAATATAACATAACCTGAAAGCTAAATAATTTCTATTTTATATATTATATTTTTAATATAATATTAAGTATAATATAATAAAGATTACATGTGTAAATTATGTGTGCAGATTTTAGGTAAGAAAGTCAACACTGAAGGATGACCCCAAACGGAATGAGAAACAAATTAGAAATTAGAAATAATACATACATATTATAAAATATTTAACCTTAAGAAGAAAAGCTAAGGAACCATGTGATGCCATCTAAATGAAACCTTCTTACTCTTGTGGTAAATAGGGAACAGTAACACTCACGTGACATCAAACTTCAGCAGCTGCACAGCTAAACTCTCACAGAAACCTTCCATGGCAAACTTAGACGCTGCGTACACGTCGTTAAACACCACACCTGCCAAGGAAAAAACCAAACAAAGCTCATGGCCGTTAGCCTTTCTTCACTCCAACCCTGCACGTCAACCACCAATCATCTGTCAAACCTGTCATTGGCCCCACCCACTCACCCTTTCACCAGTTGACCTCCCTACCCACCTTGCAGTCCCATCACACTGCTGACCACGATGATGTGTCCACCTCTTCTCTTCTTCATGTCAGGCATCACCTCCTTTATCATGCGGATGACTCCAAAGACATTGGTCTCAAAGACTTTCTTCATCTCCTCAATGGGAATGCTCTCCACAGGACCCACCAGGCCGATACCTGCGTTATTGACTGGAGATAAAAACACGAAAAACACGCTAAGCTCAATCATAGATCAAATATACCAAAAAACAAACATAGTTATGCAGTGAAAAAGAATAAAGTTGTAAGGAGGCTCATTGTGCAAACCTCTTCTTACAGACAATAGTCGCCCTCTGGTGGTCACATCCTACACATCCAGATCCTGATCTACATCAGCTTACTATCAGCTACTTCACTTACTAAGGACATCAACGTGCCGATCTTTGATGCTGTCGACACACTGTTTGACAGACTCGTCGCTGCAGACGTCCAGCACAGCCAGAGACAGAGTTTTCCCGTACGTGTCCCCGGCTGCTTCCACCAGTTTATCTTTACGCTTTAGGTCACGCATGGTGGCAATGACTGTGCACAGTGGGATGAAAAACAGGAAATCAGCAGCAAAAGTGAACGCTGGTGAAACCAACCAAGGCAGTGTTTTGACAAATGATCATTTTGTCAACAACACGTTGTGTCGGGGCTTGTTACTAAAATGTGGATTGATTATTGATTGATTATTTTTCCTTCTTGTCAAAGTGCAAAAAATGCTGAGGGGAAGGTGAAACAAACACTCTTTTGAACATGATTAGGCAAGAGAACGGTTGGAGGGAAAATTCTAAACATTTGCTTTCAGTTCGACTTACTGTATATACAAAGTCAAGGTCAAAAGTCAAGGTCAAAGTGGCTTCACCGATATGTCTCTGACCTCTTGTCTCACATTACATTTCTAAAAATGTGTTTAATGCTGAGTGAATTCCTGAAACACAGAGAACAAACAAACCCTAAACCAAACCTAACCACCCTAACCCAAACCTAACCACCCTAACTTAACGCTAACCTAAACCTAACCTAAACCTAACCTAACCACCCTAACTTAACGCTAACCTAAACCAAACCTAACCCCCCAAACCTAACGCTAACCTAAACCTAACCTAAACCTAACCTAACCCCCCTAACCCCCCTAACCTAAACCTAAACCTAACCACCCTAACTTAACGCTAACCTAAACCTAACCACCTAAACCTAACCACCCTAACCTAACCACAGTACTGTAATGCAGTAATGCAGTAAACCCTCAGCTGAACCAAACCACCAAAGACAACTTGTTCACTCTGAATCCCTCTGCAGACCACAGCGGGGGTGCACTCACCATGGTAACGCCTCTGCTCATCTTTGGCCAGCATCACAGCCATCCTCAGGCCGATGCCGGAGGAGCAGCCCGTGATCAGCACCACCTTCTGTCCAGGACCGGCCATGTCTCTCCTGCTGCTCCTCACTGCTCCTCACTGCTCCTCACTGCTCCACAGACCGTCGACTGACGCTCCAGCAGACCGGCAGCTCTGTGGTCTGAGGCGATTTGACCAGAAAGCTGCTCTAAGAGGATGAGTGAGACGGAGTAGGAGAGAGGTCACATGGTCAGGCCGCACAGAGAAGATTACCTCCTGGTTGGAAGAAAGTTACCATTCATACAACATCCCATAATCAACAGACATCTGTTCACTTCTAGAGGGAGCTTGTTGTAGTCACACTTGGACTTAAAGTCAAAACGAACACAGGCATCTTTACAGTGATTTGGCGCCACCAAGTGGTCAATGTTATAATTGTTTCAGAGGAGTACCCGGTGTAGGTCAACACTAACTCAGATACATCATCACACATGATGGTGCTGAAGGGTGTTTCCCCCTTCTGTCATAATTATGACTGACACACAGACGCATGCACACACACACACCAGCGTGCACGCGCACTAACGCACTTTTTTCAAAGCAACAATAAACCTGTCAGTCAAACCCAAAGCCTGAGGAAGAAACAGCAGAAATATTCCTGGAATCTATTTCCACTACTTCCAGAAAGAGTACCCTTCATGTTCTGCATGCCATGTACTCAAGTACTGCATGTACTACGTTAATATTTATAATATATATATGCATAATATTTATTTATTTTATTTTTAGCCGGCTGTATTTGTGGTAGCAAATGACTCACATTGGTCAAACAGTTCAAATGACGACTTTTATATTTTTATACAGAGATTCACCAATAATTAAAAAGAATACAATTGAGCTCATTATATTTGAAAAAGATGCTTTTTTTGCAGTGTTTTATTAATGTATTGAAATAGTAATTTCTTTTTATTTCAGCTTCACCTGCTGGAGGCCGGGGGCTCTCACACATGTGTGTGTGTGTGTGTGTGTGTGTGTGTGTGTGTGTGTGTGTGCAGCTCAGGATTTCTCTTGGACTTTTTCAGCCATAAACTTGTCTGAACTTCTCGGACACCTTTGCTCGACCTTCAGCAGGTAGAGATGACAAACGTGATGTTTTCACCTCTTTTTTTTTTTTTTTTTTTTTCAAAGTTGCTCCTGAAGAAGACTGTGCTGGAAAAGACTGTAGGGAGGGCAAAGACAGACAGGCACTGGAATTTGGAATCTGCAGCAGCATAGTTTATTAGCTGGGCAGCGCCGCTGTCCTGTCGTAGCATGCTGCACGTCTGTGTGTGTGTGTGTGTGTGTGTGTGTGTGTGTGAGGCAGACAGCGTGTTAAACAGTGAGAAAGTATGTGAAGGACTGTGGTCCAATAATCATTGTTTATGTAGAGATGAGGATCACGGAGTCAGACTCACTGTGCCTTTTGTTACTTTTGTCTTTTTTGTGCTGATGCAGAAACCCCACTGACAGAGTCAACAACAGACCACCCTCGGTGTAGTTCACAGACACAGGCTCTGCTGTAACATAAATGAATAACTACATCTCCAGGTCTTTGGGTTGAATCCCAAGGAAACTCTCTCAGGTGGACTGAGTTGACAATGGAACTGAAAGGATCCACAAAAATAAACAGTAGACTAATGATGTTTCCCC